AGTAGTTTCTACAATTAAATTGATATTTTACCTGGAAAATGCTAATCTAAAAATAGAGATGTCTCTAAAGATATAAATGAACATTCGTCGCAGTCTACTCAGATGATTAGACGATACTGCGAACTTAATCATACGATAAGTTTTACTCGCCTGGCCGAGTAACATTTAATCATAACGAAGTTCAGCTACGCAATTCGTTTCGACATTTTTCTGAATTAAATGACTGCCGATGCGCAGTTCCTACTTTCTGATTCAAGGTAATTCTATCAATTAAAAATGTCTGAATAATTCATCCAGTTCCCCGAGTTCTAATATTCCCAGAATTAAGACGATCTTGATCCACGATTCCTGTTCTCTCGCATTAAATGATTACCCAGTCCCACGAGGAAGTAGAATCCCAGGTTTCAGGTGCACGTCGCGACAACAATTATTCTTATCGTTCAGGAAGCTCTCCGGTAATTTCCTCGCGACGGTCATTATTCCCTCTCGTCGCAGCGTGCGATCAGCGCGGTGGAAACAGTCGGGAATAATTGCGGGCAGAGATCGAAGTCGATTACGGAGACGGTTTTCCGGTTTCGCGCAGTGGTTCCACGCGCGACGCGGTCGTCTCCGCGTGCACGGGAGAATTTCGATGGACCGCGTCCAAGGAGAAAGTATCACCGTGGTATTCACCCTGTTCAAATTGCGTTTCGCATCGCGGTCCGTTACAACGACGCGTCGTCACGTGACGGCGACGAGCGTTACGCACGCCAGTGACCTCGTGTGAAACAGCCAGCCAAGTCTTCCTTACTTTTTTACGACCGCCGATTCAGCGCTCGTAAAGTTTGATTGATCCACGCACTGAATATTATCAATCTCCCCTTGGATTTATTTTAGAATATCGCGATGTGTGATTACGCCGATTTTTATCTGAGTCTATTGATGGGGTGAACGATACGTGGCGTAAAAATTAGATCATTGGTATTACATGTACAATTCACGTGTGTAGACTAAGATTAAGTTCGCTTGGTTTTTCAGATTCAGATGATCAGTTTCATTTTTCCCTACGACATTATGGCAGATTACCATTTTTATTCGCAGAATAATTTTTAAAGTACATTTTGCTCATCGTTGGTAGAAGCGATCTATCCAAATTAACAGCACCGTACATTTGAAAAATTGTTAGATTTTAATACAATATTGATTATGTAGTCGACATTGAGCATGCGGTATCATGCTGTCTTATCGCGGTGCAGGTGAATATTCTCGGCATTATAGTCCGAGTGTACCTCGGTTTCGTTGCGAATAGAGATTCGTCGTTGAAACGAGGTCAATTGCAAAATCTTGTACTACTCCAAGTTCATTATCAGTCTCCCCTACTCCTTTAATCGTCGAACTACTGTCGAAGGGTAATGATCGACGGCGATTTTCAGTGTTATAAGAGGCCTTTATCTGCGTGCACGTGAACTCGCTATCAGTGATACGTATGTACATTTACGTATCTACTTAACACGCGTTCTTTGTCGACGTTAGTTGCATTTCGGTATAGTGTCAGATAGGATCGTGATCTCGAATTTATCGTGCGGAGTGCGATGATTACTGTTCAGATATCGTCTCTGGGTTGACTAAAAAGCGACAGTCCCCGGGAAGAGAGTTACTCGAAAGTCGTTACGTCCAGGTCTTATCTTCATTATCTAAATACTGTTTCGAACGATTGTCGTTCTGTTTGGCGAGTGCTAATGCACATAAATCTTTACTGGTTTTACAGAAACAATTGTTTTTCATTCTCAATTCACAGAACATGTGGTGATCGTATCACGCGTGTCAACGAGGAAAATACGTTCGAAACATGACTGTGAATCCAGGGTTCGAGGTACACATTTACTGAATATTTTATCATATACGAGATTTCATCTTTTGTCCCAGATTCAGTGAAAATGTCAGATTCTGTATACTTAATTTAGTTGTGGCCCGTCAAGTGAAATCGACTTGATTTTCAACTGAATGTCCAAAGTCGATTATTCTTAGCCAAGTTTCGTCGTGTTTACAGAGTAACGAGTTAAACATGGTCGAGTCGGTTTACCTGCCAGACGAATCGATGAAAGAGAGCAAGGTATGTGCGGCACGCTTGTGATGCTTAGCAATTGCAGTCGAGAAAGAATTTCTTTGTCCATCGCGTCCGACCGATTTGTTTAAAACAATATTTAGAATTTCCATTATAAATCTCCAATAACATGTCTGCTATCAGATCGTTATAGATTAGAAATTCTATTTTTTCCAGGGAAGACCAGCCGGTGGCATTCAAGCAGTTTACGACGCAACTGACAATTTTATGTCTAAACATCGTAAATTCGTTAAGTTCGTCTTGTTGACGCTCCTAAATCTCGCTGTATTAATTTATTTCGTTTTCGCAACGATGTACTGGAAACGCTATAGTAGGTCTCACGAATTCGAAAGTCCATCGGCTTGCCTTACTTTTTTTGTTACTGTAACGTGAAATTTTATCAGATAATGATTTTTACGATTGGTGCCACGGTTACGGGCTGTTAATCATCCTGTTAACGCTCGTTTATGGCGGGATACTTTACCGAGTCGTTTCGAAACGATTCCTCGGAAAATTACTCGATAAGTGCATTCAACCATGCAGCGATGCCGCTAAAAGTGTTCAAAAAGCGAAGTAAGATCCACGTGTACGACTTAATCAAAAATTGGAGAGTTCTGCAATATTACTCCCATATTATATACATTCCCATATATAATTTCCCGTAGATATGGATTTATCGTCAAAGCTGCGATTTACATTTGCGCATTCGTTGTGATTATCGTATTTCTGATCATCGACACTGCCGAGTCGAGGGAGAGGCTGATGAGCGGTATTGGAGTGATCACGTTAATAAGCTTCGGGTGGATATTTTCTAAATACCCTGGCCACGTGAGTCACTTAATATAATTTGTCTCTTGACACAATTTTTCCCGTAGCGCAATTCTCTTAATCGCTTATTGATATTTTAATTAAATATATTTGATCTCTTGATTGATTCTCCTGTAAATTGATAAATGATATGTAAAATAATTATTAATGCAGATTAATTGGAGGCCTGTTTTATGCGGTTTGCTCATGCAATTTGTTTTTGGCTTTTTGACAATCCGGTGGCCCGTGGGTCGAGCGATCTTGAAATGTGTCGCCGGGAAAGTGGAAACTTTTCTGAACTTCGCCAAGAGCGGCGCGATCTTCACCTTCGGCGATCAGCTAGTCAACGACGGAATCTTCGCTTTTTCTGTCAGTGAGATCTCACTCCGAATCTGATCACAGAATCGACCTTGTGTTAACGAAATTTCTTACAGGCTTTACCCGTGATCTTCTACTGGTTACGGGCTGTTAATCATCCTGTTAACGCTCGTTTATGGCGGGATACTTTACCGAGTCGTTTCGAAACGATTCCTCGGAAAATTACTCGATAAGTGCATTCAACCATGCAGCGATGCCGCTAAAAGTGTTCAAAAAGCGAAGTAAGATCCACGTGTACGACTTAATCAAAAATTGGAGAGTTCTGCAATATTACTCCCATATTATATACATTCCCATATATAATTTCCCGTAGATATGGATTTATCGTCAAAGCTGCGATTTACATTTGCGCATTCGTTGTGATTATCGTATTTCTGATCATCGACACTGCCGAGTCGAGGGAGAGGCTGATGAGCGGTATTGGAGTGATCACGTTAATAAGCTTCGGGTGGATATTTTCTAAATACCCTGGCCACGTGAGTCACTTAATATAATTTGTCTCTTGACACAATTTTTCCCGTAGCGCAATTCTCTTAATCGCTTATTGATATTTTAATTAAATATATTTGATCTCTTGATTGATTCTCCTGTAAATTGATAAATGATGTGTAAAATAATTATTAATGCAGATTAATTGGAGGCCTGTTTTATGCGGTTTGCTCATGCAATTTGTTTTTGGCTTTTTGACAATCCGGTGGCCCGTGGGTCGAGCGATCTTGAAATGTGTCGCCGGGAAAGTGGAAACTTTTCTGAACTTCGCCAAGAGCGGCGCGATCTTCACCTTCGGCGATCAGCTAGTCAACGACGGAATCTTCGCTTTTTCTGTCAGTGAGATCTCACTCCGAATCTGATCACAGAATCGACCTTGTGTTAACGAAATTTCTTACAGGCTTTACCCGTGATCTTCTACTTCAGCTTCTTCATCCAAATCTTCTATTACTTAGGCGTGATGCAATGGCTTATATTTAACTTGGGCAGACTTCTGCAGGGTCTGTTGTCTACTTCTATCTGCGAGTCGGTTACTTGCGCCGGTAACATTTTCCTCGGCATGGTAAGATTCGACCAGGGTTGCAGATAAATGTTCAATTCAGTTGAATACCAATTGATAACTGACGTTTGAATTTTTTAAAATCTGATTAATTAAAGTGTAAAATTAGTTAATTGATTAGAAGAAATTCGAATTTATTTTATTTTTATTCACTAGACTCTATATGCTGTTATATATTACTGATATAATTAGCACCTTAAAGAGATAGACAATCAACTTGTACATAAACCTGGAGTATATACTTCAAAATATATAGACTTGAAAACTAATTTAACAATATACATAAAATTCTTATGTGTTATTTATATATTAGCTTTGATCCAGATTTTTATCTTCTTTTTTATTATTTTTGTAGAGCAAACTAATCCTCGGGTTATGATATATTAATGGCTCATAGATAAAGTAAGCTTTGTATTTATCCCTATTTCTCAATCACGAATTGCCGATTGAATTCTAATTCGTGATTAAAAAATACTCCAATCGTCGATTGAGATTTATGGAAATCGTTAATTGTTAATGGAGCAATTAAAAATTCTGCAACCCTGGATTATTTAACAAGCATCGATGAAATTAAGTATTTATTTATATTATTTGCTGTCAGAGTACTTAATATGGGAATTGTGCTTTCAGTCAGAATCTCCGTTAGTGATTAAACCCTATTTGAACAAAATGACCACATCGGAGCTGCACACGGTTATGTGTTCGGGTTTTGCGACGGTCTCAGGTGAACAAGTAGGACGCGTTATTTGATTTAGGGATATCGAGATATTCGCTTTAATCTCTTTGTGAATTTAGGGACTGTTTTGGCGGCGTATATTAAGTTCGGCGCGAACCCGGCGCACCTGATTACAGCCACTCTGATGGCTGCGCCTGCGGCTCTCTGTTTCTCCAAATTATTTTATCCGGAAACCGAGAAGATCACGGTCACGGCTGAACATGTTAAACTTGTGAAATCGTGAGTGTCGTTTACGATGAGTACATTTTCGTGACAAGTGATGATCTGTATTTCTCTTAGAGAAGACACCAGCTTGATAGACGCTGCCAGCAAGGGCGCCGTTGCGGCGATACCCTTGATCTTAGGCATAATCGCGAATATAGTCGCTTTCGTATCCTTCATTGCCCTCATCAATTCTCTACTGTCTTGGATAGGTTTATTAGTCGGCTATGAGGCTTTGTCTTTCGAAGTGAGTGAAGCAACGAAAAGAGCTCGTAGATTACAATTTTATTGATGCCATCGTTGCTTCCAGCTTATCTTATCAAAAGTATTCATGCCGTTGAGTTGGATCATGGGCGTGCCATGGGAGAAATGCGAGGACGTGGGAACTCTCATAGGTTTGAAGACCGTAGTTAACGAGTTCGTCGCCTATCAAAAGTTGGGCGAATTTAAAAAGCAGAATAGAATTTCTGGTAGGACGGAGGCCATCGCCACTTTCGCTATTTGCGGTTTCGCGAATCCCGGTTCTGTGGGCATCATGCTGAGCATGTTGATTGAACTGGCGCCTGATAAGAAAGAAAACGTGTCGAGTGCTGTTGTGAGAGCTTTCATTGCTGGCAATGCCGTTTGCTTCCTCACCGCCAGCTTCGTTGGTAAGCCTTGAACGATTCTCGCAGCTTCGAAGCTGTTTCACTGATCGAACCACTTCGTTTTCAGGATTACTAATGCCGAACGATTATATTACGGAAAACTCGACGATGATATTAAATACAACTGCCAGCTGATTGTCTTTAACATTATTATCGAACTCTACTCATTGAAGTACGAATCGAGTTAGGAAAATTTTGTAAGATGGAGAGGAAGAGATGGTTTTAGGAGCAATAACTTTGACTAATATTGTCTGTGTACTTTAGTTTAATTTTATTGTGTAAATAAGTGGTAAGAAGGTAATATTTAACATTTTCCGCACTAGGTTCTCATTGATATTATCATATATACAATACTGTAAGTAGTGGACGAATATAATGAAATACTACGCTAGTGCATTTTTGTACATTTTCTAGCAAGTAAATATGGTCGATTGTATATAATAATATAATGTATATAATAACAAAAATATTGGTAGGGAATTCATAGTATCACAACCCTCGCGTACGCGGAATGTCCGTATGTCGCGTGCTGTAATCCTGAGCAAGCGAGTGAAAGAAATGCAGTATTCACAAAATATCCTAGGTAAATGCATCGTTTACGGTAAATTGTGCAGTTGATGTAGTTCGTAGAGATTGTGTGTACGGTTGAACACGTCGCCGGTTATCTCTAACATTTTTGGCAAGACATCAACGTTCCTTTGTACGTCCGCTCCGCAGACCTGAAATACAAAAATTAATTCTCAACTACTTTTTCTTCCCTTAATTAATTTAGGTGGCAATTCTTTTTCCTGTTTAATATTTGACTAAAGTTCGAATATGCAAAGCAACGAAAATAGTTCGAATATTACCTATTTCTCCAAATATTTTTCAAGAGTCGTAATTCACCCAGATAATAGTAATTTACATATATAAAAAATTGTAATACCTTTTTGAATAAAACTTCTCTAGTAGGCATCGTGTACATGGCAACGATTGCTGCTTTCTTGATCACCCATGAGTGATGCTTGGCAAGGGTTTTGTCATAGGCATCTTGGCAACAACTAGACGTCTTATCACTGTCAGACAGATCTCCCAACTGTCTTAAAAATTCTTTAATAAAATCTGTAAAAGAGTATCATAAATATTCCGAATTGAATCCTGACAGGGGATCCTTGTAGTGTGAATTACCTAGTCCTCTATGAAGTCTGAGCAATGTTCGAGTACCATTTGTGTGGTCTGTTTTCTCCATAAGTTTATTCTCTTTCTCATACTCTATCATAGTCTTTATCGATTTATAATTCTGACTATCCTTATTCGTCAGCTCAGTAAGTATTTGTATCTTTTGCTTGAGGTCAGAGGACACGAAGCTGAACACGCTGCCCATCAATTGGAAGAACCTATAGATAAAAGAAAGAACACGTACATATGGATGAACATATGGAAGGAACTGTTTCATTTGCATAAGTTTACAATACTGTTTTAACTTGAATGAAATGTGTGAGCATTAAGTATAATCGGTGGGCATTATAATGGGAACATTTTTGGCTTTTAATCAAAGATCGAAAGGAAATAACAAATAAATGTTAAGCGGATGCTATGCTTAAATTCGAGTTGGCTAAGGGTTAACTGAATAGAATTAAGATAATTTAAACACTCACTTGTAGAGCTCGTTGTAGGCGTCTAGATAAGCCTTCAGGTCAACGTCGTCGTCCTGAACTAGGGCTCGGTCGAAGTGGTCGTGGACTAGCCTAAGATCGAAAAACGCCAGCTCCGAGCCTTCCGCCATTTTCGTGTTGTTCTTAATCGTTCTTCCTTCCTCCTGTTATTAAGAGGTGTAACGAGCGAGCGGTTCGCTTCACTATACGCAAGTGACGTACGTCCTGCGTAACCTGGGCAAAGATACCATACTCAGAATAACGCTCTGTTCCTTTCGGTCTTCAATTAAAGTAAAGTGACAAATAAAATCATATCGATAAGCCAGATCACCAGTTGATCGCGGTTTGCTATCAAGTCAGGTGGACAATCTCTGTTATCAGTACTGATAAATCAATACATTGAACGATTTCTTTGTTCTTTCAAAATTCAAATCTATAAATATGGTAAATTTTTAAGTCAAGTGTTAATATCAGATTTTCATTTCCTTTGCTTAAAATCTTTGTTATCATGCTGTTTAATGATAACTTTTGTTTAGATAAATCACTGTTTTTATTACTTATCGTTGCGTTCTATAAAATAACATTGTTATAGAGTAATTAATGTTGTATTTGGAATGTAATTAATATTTGGGAGGAAGTCGTGTTTAAGAAGAGATGGAATTCTTTTTATCTACAATTCGATTGGGAATTGACATCGAGCGCTTCGTTAAATTCCAGTTATTTCGGTACCAATAACAATTTCCCTTGGCCCAGATTGATAATTATATGTAATAAAGATGCATTTACGCGTGGGATATTTCATTTTGCATCAGGAATTTAATTTTAGCAGTTGATACGCGCGATATCTATCGATCCCGTTTGCTTTAGGAGGTTCCGAGAATTCCTACGAGCAGCGTTGAACACGGCGCCATTGTTTCCTCTCTCTTCTCTTTCCATTTCAAATTATACGATTGAGGAAACTTCTCAAAGTTTTTTAGTCTGTCTTCGTCGACTGATTTAAATAATTTAGGATTGACAATCTTGATAAATCAAAGCATTTATTAGTTTCCGGGTCGTCTAAATTTAAACACATGAAGAAAAATCTATCATTTAAAAATTGGTTTTCATCGAATTGCAGTATTTCTTATATTTGAAGTCGTTNAATTTTAGCTTTTTAATAGTAATAGGAATCTATAATAACAAGTTCAACATGCCAGCATTGTTTAAGTATATGTACAGCCTATACGTCCTTAACGATAGACAGGAGTGAAGCCAGTTAGTGTTAGCTTGTATCATAGTCATCATTGTTACGTCACGCCGAGAACAACGGTGGAGGAACAAAAGAGTTTGCGAATCTCGCTGACGCATGGATGTATGTTGGTAACCTGGTGTCCCTGGGGGCGTTAAATAATTCACCACAGCTGGGACCGAGGGTTAGGTAAGAGATGAGGCTTGTGGGAGGGCGAAAGGAGGCGTAGGGGTTGAAGGACCGATCAAATATTCACGTCTACTTCAACGCGGATGGAGCTAAGCAGTGCGTTGAGTACGAGAAACGTAACTGAGAAAAGTAGAATCCGCCGATTCTGTGACTTCGTGTCTGATATCAAATTTTTTTTTCCCTTCAGAAAATATTAATCAGTCTGCAACACGAATTCTTAAACAGTGCCGCTGCTCCGTCTGTGCTTTAGAATTAATTATTCACAATTGTATGTGTGTCTTTATTTTCAGTTGTGTGTCAGAAAATTAGTCATATAGTACTGTTACGTAATTATGAGTAATTGAAGACTTGATTACCTTCATCAGTATAAAAATTATCTTACATAGAACAATTTTCATATACACGATTTCTATGATGGATTGTTAAAGAAATTTCGTGTTAGAGTTATCATCATTTAATAATTGATTTCTAAAATTGAGAGTCATTTACTTATGAAGGGCAATTATTCTTCTTATTTCAATTCAATTTACTCTGTCCACTTTCGCTCGTCGCTTTACGAATCGCCGGATTCAGAGTTCACCCAAATATCTAGTTTCACCCTTGGTCCGTTTTTCTTTTTTTTACGATGGTTATCCATATCGCGATCAAGTGATCTCGCGGGATCGGAGTTCGTACGACCAATCACGCTTAGGCGCATAAAAATGTGTCACAAGGGTGCTGTAATAGAGGCCATCGAAGCTTGTCGATGGCGATTTCGCCTACTCGTCACGCATTATGCCGCGAATTCACCTTCAGCGTTTTCTCCGGTTTTAGTGATCGTACGAAACCTTTAAGGTACACAATACAAATGACTTTTCCCGGAGAATACTTTATCTTGTCAGTTTTAATATAAGTAACATTGTCTTATGTTTATCACGATAATTTGAGTTATTTGCTAAGAAAATAGAGATATCTAATGCTCAAATCAAATTATATAAAATCTGTG